ATTCCCATCCAAAGCCAGCTTTTATAAAGAATCGAAATTGACAGAGAAGATAGAAGAAGCGTCTTAAACAAGTAAAGGAGAATGAGGCTCTTCCATTTCCCAGGGAAATTGCTGGAACGGGGAGGCCTAGCCAAGGGCAGTAGTGAAACTTTAAGTCAGCAGGCTCCACGCCAAGGAGAAGGCACGGTGACACTGATGCTGCCTCTGGGGGAGGAGAAGGGGTTGGGGTGGGGACGGTGGAGGAGACAGCGAGCTGAAGGGGAGGAATGGCACCACCTAGAATTCGGAAAAGATGTTCTAGGCCCTCTGCCAACCCCCCACCCCCAATCCCCCACCCCAAGAAACCTGCCTAATCAAGTCTCTCCAATCTCTGGGCCCAAATGGAGCTGCGCAGAAAACCACAGAGACGCAGAGCCTGTGAGGTGAGCCTCGGAGCTTCCCACCCCAGCCCCTGCCTGCTGCAACCACCACCTCTGTGCTTCCGCGGCTGTTTAATATATTTGGGTCCCAGCAGGATTCTGCTTGACCAGCCCTGGGCCAGGGAAAAGCTTAAACCCCAAAGGACTAAATACTTCCTCAGCCTCTCTGGGCCCTAACCTGATTCTTCTCTATAGAAGGGGCAGAAATCAGCCGTGTCCTCTCACTGTGCACCAAGGGCTCCGCCACCCTGGGGTGCAAGGCAGAAAGCAAACCCATGGCCTTTCCGGATGCACCCACCCACGCCCACCCTCCTGCCCAAGGACACCCGCAGCCTCCACTGAGCCAGTGAATCGGGCGGATGCCACCCAGGGAAAAAGGGGGTCACATGGCCTGCGGAAGTTGGCAACTTCCCCAGGGTTTTGCTGCACCAGGGACCCGGAGTCGGTGGGAGGGAAAGTTCCCCACAACACCAGGAGGGAGAAGGACAGGCAGCCTCAGCAGTCAGGTCATGGAAAATGCTTGCTTGGAGCTGTAACTGGTGCTGCCATCCAAGCAAATCACGCTTGTGGGGAAACAAAAAGACAGCCGTGTTTTCCTTCTTCCACGGATCACACCGACGCTGGAACAGCCCTGAACATAAAGTCGCATCGGAAGTGAAGCCCCACAGCCCCCTCTCAGCCCTTGGTCTCTGCGAGGAGTGGACATCTGCTTGCAGGCCCAGAGGGGAGTCTGGCACTGTCCCAGCACCCGGAGCTTAGTGTCCCAGCTGCGCCTGCTCGGCCGCACGGCGGCTGCCAACTCTGGGCTCAGGCTTCAGCACGCGGAGGTGAGGAGCTGCATGGCAGACGGCTGTGCTCTGGGCCTGCACGGCCTCTCTGCACCATGGGGCCTGGGGTGGACACGCTCAGAGAAGGCATACGGCCCCTTGTGCCACATGGGAGAGCTCTCACTGCCAAGTCCTGCACAGCAACATTACCCTGACTGACCCTCTCGTCAACAGGTAGGCTCAGATTACCTGCGCCTCGCACCTGAGGAAACTGCAAACTCTCAGGAGAGTTAGGTGTGGGAGTGACATGATGGCCCCCAGTCAACGACACAACATCCTATAATGTACCTTTGCACACAGTAGGTGCTCAGTAATTCCTGCTTCACCCCCTCTTGTCCTACATCAGACAGCTTCCCACACACCCCACCTTTGGAAACTTTACTACGGGTGGCCTCCAATAGATCTGTCAGAGCTCATGTCATGCGCTAAAGACATTTGCATGGACAAGCTCATGGGACCCTCCTTTGGAGATTTCTTTCTGAGCAAAGAGAAGCAGAGCCAAGTAGAAACTTTCGGAGCACCTGTTACAGTTCTGAGTCCTGAAAAAGCATGCCTCTGATAGGAAGAAGGAGGGACAGCCCCCCATACACTCAAGATAAATGTCAGGCCAACTCCTCTGCAAGCTGGAAGTGACTTTCCAGCAACCCCTGCCCCTGGTGGCAGACCCATGCCAGACAGCTCCAAGTACAGCACAGACAATTAATATTTTGCTTTGAGTTACACAGCAAGCCAGGGACATGGACCTTTGATTTTGCCATCCAGCACTTCCTCAACAAGAACGCACTTCCTGGATGAGATAATTGAATTAGTATTCGCCCAGCACCCTGCAATGCAAGCCGATCACCCACTCCTTCCCCCTGATGAAGGGGCTGAGTAATCCACAGTCTCTTGATGCCACTTAATCTAAAATATCTGGGTGACTCACCCTCCCCGAGATTTCCCTCCAGGGTATTTAGTTTAAGAAAATATCTATTTGCTTCTTAATTTAAATGAGTTCTATTTGTTTAAATCTTAAAGAAACTACTAGGTCTTTGACTGAATTATTTCCCACATTGTTTTGCAATCTATATTGAATGTATATGATATATATAATCTTTGCAGGGAACCCCTGGCCCTGCCCAGAGTAAAGCACGCAGGATCTGCCCTATTGCAGCTGTGCCCTGTGCATGGCCAACACAGCTGCGATTGCAGGTGTCCTCAGAGGGCTGATCGGCCCTTGTGTGGCTCAGGACCCTACCCTCAAATCTGCCACCCAACCTCAATCATTTCCCCTCTATGTGAATATGCTTTATTTTTAAGTCACCCTGGTTCCCCAGCCCCACCCCTCCCAGCCCCCTCTTCCACCAGGAGCCACGCTCAGCCCTGCCTTCAGCTGCCGCCTTTCCCTGTGGCACCGTCCTAATCCCCTCTCCTTGCTTCATCTGAAACCTTCCAGACCTTGCTTTAATGCACCCTGGGCCTGAATAACAAACATTTGCTAAGGTAAATCCCATTCCCTGCTTTCCAGATAACTTCTCTTTAATAGCGATAAGCTGCTAGGCAGACAGATAACAACTGGGATATGCAGTTATTAGGGGAAGATTTTCAAATGACAAAAGGATACATTTTAAAATAAAGCCCACTTGAAAATCAGTTTCCCTTCCAACTCAATTATGTTCAGGCCTCCTGCTCGGAAGCTCCTTATACTCAGAGATTCCAGCTCCCACTGGCTTCAGGGTTTTTGAGTAGTGTTGCCTTGGCAACATGGAAGGCTCAGACACCTGAAACAGGAAGTGCAGGACACAGGGCCTCCTCCTCTCTCAGGCACCTGGAGTGGCCAGCAAGGCCCCCCGCACAGAGCTCAAGAGTCAGCCGCCTAAGACTGCCCCCACGACCAACAGTCCCACCCACCGCGAGGACACTGGGATTATAGCTGAGCAGAAAGAAGGTGAGTGGGAGATAGCAAAGGAGCCAGCATGCTGGACCTGTCTGTCACTGACCTCAGAGAACACTGAGGATGAAGGCGAGCACGCCAGGCAGATGTGAATGTCGCTTCTGCAGGCAGCTACTCTCCGCAAGCTCCTTCAAGTCAATGGGACTGAAGAGCTCCCCTTGCCAGGTGGGAGTCCAACGCAAGCCAGCTTCTCTTGCGGTCATGACCCAGACCCATGCTGACCCCAGCCCCCACCAAACCTCCCTGCTTTGGCCAGCCTGGCAGCAACAGAGGCCTTGGCATCACAGGCCACACCCTGGCCCTCCAGGGGGTCACAGGATAGTCACGGGCTGACCCCGTCTAGGAGGCCACCAGCAAACCTCTGAGCTCCAACATGTCATCAAGCCAGGTGTGTCAACCACTGTGTCATGAACAATTATTGAACCTTTTATTATTTATATGAGCAGCCAGTGACTCCATCTTCCATCTCTATCACAGGACTAGCTGGGACGTCCCACCCTCCCTGTCACACGCAGGCCCAGGGCACCTGGCCTCTCGCTGAGGACCATTCCTCCTCCCAGTCTGTCACCCGTGAGCCCTGTGTCACCTCCTCCTTGCTCCCCAGCCTCCCCTACTCCACCCTCCACACGTGTCCTTCTACCCTGGCCCTGCAAAGAAGCCCCCACCCAGACTCCCAGTACTCAGTGTCACTTAACACCTGCCAACCCTCCACCACCCCTGGCCATGCTGGAGACCAGGTGGAGGCCCTTTGAAGGGGGTACTTGCAACGACTTTCCTTGATCTCCCAGGCACTGTCACTAGTAGGGACAGCTTCCTCCTGAGGGTAGAGAAGTGCGTGTGAGAGTACACGAGCCCACGCCTGAGCGTATACCCACCAACTAACGCCCTCATCCTTTCCTGAGACACCTGAGCCCTGTGGCTCTGATGCCATGAGCACATGGGCTTCCTGTGCAGGCCATTTCTGGTAGCGCACCCAAGCCAGCCAGGCTGGCACAGCCCTTGGCAGCCAACCACTGACCCCCCTAGACTTCACCCCTCCAAACACACAGTGACCTGAGTCCCTCACTTGGAAACTGACCCCTCGCTTGCCACAGTGACCTCCTGGCTTCACAGATCACCTTAACTTTGGGGACCCCCACTCTGGATAAAAGGCTCCTTCCCCACTATCTTTAATCCTGAAAAACTGTTCTCCACCCTACAAAAGAGGAGGAAGAAGAGGCAAAGTATCAGTGGAAGGACACCCAGGTGTGCCACCTGCACCAGCATCAAGTACAAAAGCCAAACCTCACCCCCCAAATCTCACCCGAGTTGATCAGCTCATCTGCATCTCTCTTCTCTCTCCACTGGGCTCTGGTGTCCCCACTTCCCACCCTCTTGTGGCTCATTTTTCTGTTCAGGGTCTTGTTTCACGCTTGGATCTGGTGGACACCCTGGCTGCAATCTCTGTCTCCTGCCTCAGCCACAAATTAACACCCGTCCCCACAGTTGGCTGATTTTACTGCTCTGGGAAAACACGCTGCCCCATCTAGGGCCTCCAAGTGGCTCCCCTGGTACAAGCAGCAGCACCCAGTTGTGACCAGGGGCCCCTGCTGCACACAAAGAGACTACATTAGTAGCAATTTCTGTTTGGAAGCCTCTCTGTGCCTCCTCCCTAGCATGCCTGATAAACACCAGCCAACGGCAGCGCCAACACAGAGAGACCGGGATTGGGGATTTCCAGAACAGTGAGCAGTCATCGGGAACGTGGGGGTCCCTCGGGCCCCTGCTGTCTTCAGTGGCATCACAGCAGGAAGACTGGGAGGTGGCGACCCTGAGGCTTACCTTGCGCATGTCTTTGCCAAAAGTCTCGCTATAGGTCGTGCCAAGGATTTCAAACTGGACGTAGGGATTCGAGCTGTCCTCCCGAAACTCCATCACGCCAGTGAGGCCGGTGATGTGGCCCTGCAGGACAGGAGGAAAAACCAATGGAGGTCCGAAAAGTATGACTGGGGTAAAGGACAGAGTCCTAAAGGCTGTAATGAGGACAGAGTGGCTGGCAGTCCTAGAGCCTCGGAGCAGGATCCTGCTTCCCACGCCCTTTGCTCAGGAAATCCCTGAGGCCTGCAGTCAGTATGCTTGGATGGCCTGCTATGTTCCGGGCACTGTGCTAGCCACGAGAGTGGAGTGACAGCTTTTGTCCCCACCCTCCTGAAGCCTTAGTCTTCCGCTTGCAACCTGCTCTGGGACTCACCTTAGTCTGACCCTAAGGGGAGTCAAAGGTCAACAAGGGCCATATCAGACACACAGCAGACAGTTGCAGGGCAGCAAGCATGGGCACTGGAGGCCCAACCCAGCTTGTGTCTGGCTTTGCCACCTGTGCCACCTTGGGCACATGCCAACCTACCTCCCAGCTTCAGCCTGAGCTAATTATCTCCATGACACGGAGCCTGCGAGGACTGAAGGAGAAAATGTGTACAAAGCGTGGCATCTGGCACAGACTGGCTGGGGGCCCTGCGCCTCTCCTTGCCGGCGCAGTGGGTATCACAGAAGCAGCAGGGGACAGAGGGCTGAGGGCGCCCTGGCGAGCCCCTTCCCTCGTCAAGACTGAGGGTCTCTCCAGCCTTGTCTCCCATAGTCTCTGGGACACAGAGGGGCCCCGCGCCTCCCGTGGGCACAGTAGACCCAGCCAACACCGGGACACGTTCGCTGCTACTGAACCACACGCAGTTTATCGTGAGTAAAATTCTTCACATTGCAGAGCTCCCTAAATGCTCTTTGGAAGCCTCCAAAAGCCAATTCACTCTAACAAGTCTTCCATGGATTATCCAATTCACTTCAAATCCAGTCTTCTCCCTTGGTGTCACTCCTGAGCACGTGGGACACATCACAAGTACAGTGTGTGGGCATGGCATGGCATGGTGGGGTATCGCAGACATGGGATCGGCAGCTGCCCCATTTTTTTACTTACTCGTGACCTTGGACAAGTTCCCTAACCTCTCTGAAGCCCAATCTCCTCCTATTAAAATGAGACAATACTAATAGCACATATAACAGCCTTCAAGAGCCAGGATAGGAAGAGCGGCAAGAAGAGAGGTTTGGAGGGGCCTGCCAGGGCAGCCACGCAAAGGGCCCAGGCTCAGGCCAGCTGCTGGTGGGGGCAGGGAGTGGGGGCTATGAGGAGGGGCCTGTCTTTGGCCTTGGCCTGGGCAGGGGTCCCTCACACTCACCTTTTTGATGGTGTCCAGCATGGACCGCCCTCCATTCCACGGCTTGGTGGACTTCCGTATGCAGTTCAGGCTCGCCATGCTGTGCCACTTCCGGTCCTCCAACTTCCTGTGGAAGGCGTTGGCCAGCATCAGAACGCTGTCATACAGGTAGAGGTTGGAGATCTGCAAAGACAGAAGTGGTAAAGCCCTTTCCACAGGTGCATTACAGAGAGAGCTGGAGAAACCCACAGAAAGCTGGGGAAATGTGGGGTGCCAACACTAAGATGTGGTGCCAGGATCCTCTGGCTTCCAGGTGTTCCTTCAAAAACCTAGCCCAGCGCTAGAGTCCTGAGTAGGATAAGACCTTGCTCTGTTTCAGGAACTAGGAGGCACATCCACACGGCAGCAAGGAGAACCAGCATGCTTAGCACCTGACTAAGCCATGCACACAGACCAGTTACCTGCTCAGGTAAGAAGGCTGGAGGGAAGAAAGGGTGGGAAGCTCAGGTAGAAGGACTAGCAGGATAAAGGGAGGGCACAGCATTTGCAAGACATGAAGGTATCAAGGAGCAGGACCGGTTAGGGCAAGATTCACCAGAACTCTCTGTAAAGGACCAGACAGTAGAGATTTAGGTTTGTGATCCTTTGCAACTGCTCAGCGCTGCTGTTATAACCTGGAAGCAGCCATAGGCAATATGCACACACACAGGGCAGCCACGTGTTAACAAGCATTATTTGCAGAAACAGGCAGTGTGCTGAGTTCACCCTGTGGGCCACGGTGGGCTGAGCCCTGGGTCAGAGGAACTGAAAACAGTTCAAGGTGACTGTGTCCATGGGTCTGGTGGGGAAGGGCAAGCCCGAGGAGGAGGCAGGGATCGGGCCATGCAGAGCCTGTGGGCTTTGCTAAGAAGGAAAGACAACAGGGGTAACTTTAGGGAGAAGGGCGCCATCGCTGAGTCTGTGCACAGGGAGCTGGCAATCAGACCTGGGCCCCAGAAAGATGGTGGCTGCACAAGCCTAGGGTGACGATGGCCTGATTGACCATCTGGCAACTAGGGAGGTGGTAACAAATGGCAGAGATTCTGGTGTCTGCCATGCAATGGAGTCACGGCCACCCAGGGGAACCCATTTGGGATTTGCAACCTTGCCCGTGTGAGCACCACCCTCTGCTTAGCTGTCTGCAGCGAGGCTGGACCTAGGGTAGACACAGCCCATGCCGGAGCTCCAGAGAGTGAGATCACGCGTGAGCGGAGGGAGTGATAGTATGAAGAATGGGACTGCAGTGTGCGGGCCGCTGCGGGATCCACGGGTGGACAGGCCGGCTCACCCTCCTGACTGTGACTACAGACCCAGTCTGGAGGAGCAGGGCGGCCCCACCTGCCCCCTGGGGGACCCAGCCACAGCCCTCTGCAGGGAGGAGGCACCCAGGCCTCTGCAGGGCACGGGCACACAGCAGAGGAGGAGGGCAGGGCTGAGGGAGAAGGAATGTCCACCCTGGGTCAGGTGTGTGGCCCCCGCTGGTAACTGTTGCACCAACAACCATCTGCCAAAGTGGGTCAGGGGGACCATGCTCGGAACACCTGAGCAGCAAGTAGCCTGCTAAAAATATTTCAGAAAAACAAAATCACCAGATAAAAATAGGAAACTATGCCGGCCTCACAGGACTCCTGGGAAGATCAAACAGGCTCCTTGGGATGCAGGAAGAACCCCTCTGCCCCCAGCCGCACCACCCACCTCCCCAAAACGTCCTCACACCCCAACTCTCCATGCCTTGTTCTCTGCACGCACTTTGCCCACACGTCTCAGTCTGGGTGCCCCAAAAGCAGAGCCCCAGACAAGAACTTGGGTGGTGGGAATGCTCCCCAGCAACTGGACCTGATGTCTGGGACATCTGCTGTGTCGCGCCTGTCCGGCCACCCACGCTGGCCCTCAAGGGTCATTCCCACCCTGTCATGTTTAACCAGAGCTGACCGTTTGCCCTGTAGGTCTCCCTGTGCACGGGCCATTGCTGAGGAACACTATTCTGGCTGACATCGTCCCGTGTGCCTGCTAGGACCACTGAGGGCCTAGTGCCTGTGCCTCCCCGTGTTGGAGTGTGAGAGCAGTGGGGCGTGGCCGGGTGTTGCAACAGCAGCAGGATGAGCTGACCCAGGGCCTTGGGCTGCCCCTCTGCTGTCTTACCTGACGACAGAGAGGAGGGTGATTCCCACCACCCGGAACTCGTCCCGTCCTGCAGAGAACACCGCGACACAACAGGACTGCGTCCTCAGCCCCCTGAGGCCTGGAGGAGCATGTCCTCATGAGCAAGGCCAACCGGTGCCCTGCTCCTGCCAGCTCCCCAGCCCCAGCAGCACGCACCACTGCAAAACTGCTTTGCCACGTCTCCCTGCCCTCTGGAAAACAAACCCGCGATGGAGATGTTGCTAGAAATGTCTAAAGTAAGCCATTTAGAATTGGCTTGGTTTTTATTCTTTTTTTTTTTTTCCCCGAAAAGGACAACTGGAAGCTGAGAGTCCTTGATGATGTGAAACTGTCTCTTATGAAGACATTCATGGGTCTCCCAGCCACCCACTGAGAGCCGACGCCGTTCAGCCAGCCGGGAGCGTCCGCTGGCACCCCACCCACGCACACTGGCAGTCGCAGAGCCCACGCACCGCCTCCGCCCAGCCCCGGCCAGCACCTGCAGGATTCCCTTTCTCCCTCCAGCACTTCTGTTCACAATGAATTAAGGTACTCAGCAAACACATGAATGCAGAGAGGCCTGCGACGGAGAGGAAAGAGCAGGACGAGACTCAGAAAGGCCAAGGAAGCCCTCAGTCCTCCCACAGCGTGTCTGCTTGCAGGGGGAGGGCACTGCGGTCACAGGAACAAGACTGAGTAATGCTCTTTTCCAGGCACGGATGGAAAAGAGCCCTCCCCCTGCCCTCACAGCACCCTGCATGCCCCTCTTCCATGATATTCTGCATGCTGTCAGCTCACAAGTGTGCTTACGTCAGCAAACTTTGAGCTCCTTAAGTGTTACCTCCAGAATCCAGCTCCTACCAGGCATATGGCTGGTGCTTAATGTACGTGTGATGGGTGAACGCATGGCAGATGCATGTATGCACGGGCACAGGATGGAGTGATGGGCGAATGGATGGCTCTTCTTCTAAGAAAGTACGTAATAACTGTGCTTTGTAAAAAGAGAAAATATTGAAAACAGCAGAAAAAAGAAATACGTTGCCTCCAACTTTGACTTGGGAGGCCTCCTTTGTTCAAATGGCAGTTTGCTTCTCATTTATAGCCTGTTCAAAATGTCTTCTTGATCCTCCCTGGGAGCTGTTTCCATCCACTGGTCCCCTGGTAAGATGGTATCTCCATACTCCCCCGCCTGGGGCAGAAGCTGACACTCCAGTATTGATCTGTGGATCTGCTATCTGCTCCTCAACCTCAGCATCCTCGCTTAGTTGCCCCACACCACGGTGCAAACAGACCAGCTGGCGTGCACTCGTGGGGAAGGCCCTACCCTCACAGTCCGGTTGGCCAGAGAAGGGATCGTTGGAGGAAAAGACCAAGAGGAGTTGGCAGAAAGGCAGATGCACCAGATCCTGCTAAACTTAAGAGAAGCCATTCCTCAGGGGAGATGCCAGGGCCAGGGTTGATCGTGCAAGGGCCAGGGTTGATCGTGTCAGGCCTGTGAGCCCGGAGGAGAGGTCTGGAAGGAGAGAGGCTCCCAGCTGCACGGACACTCACTCACCATCCACCACTCAGGGCCAACAGCTCCAGCTGGAGCCACAGGCTACAGGGGCAGTGTGGGAGGGGGCCTGGGATGAAGGACTCCTTGCCCCCCTCCTCACATCTCAGGTAAGGCATGACACTGAGTTCATCAGCAAAGGTAAGAGAAGCAGAGCAGACACTATTGCTATCTAAATGCTCATCCCCATGCAGGCGCAGGGCCTAGGAACAGCACAGCACAAAGTTACAGGAACCAAGAAAGCATTCCAGGCAAGGGTAAATTTGAGAAGCAAAAGAGAGGTCAAATGATCAAGACCAAGGGCAGAGGAGGGGGGGAACCCAGGGCAGACAAGAGCCAGAGCCAGGAGAGTGGCCCCTGGCTTTCCCAGGAGCTGTGGGCGCTGCTCTGAGTGGGAGGGAGCTGGAAGCGGGACTGGCTGGTCCGTTTAGCCACCCTCGAGATTTAGGCCAAGTCCCTCTTTCACTCATTCTCATACAGCACAACCCTCATGCTACCGTGTCCAGCTTAGGCGGTGGCCTCGTAGGATCAGCAAGAGCTTTGGAGTCATCACAACCTGGGCCACCTCTGCTCACTGCTGGGCCCTGGTGTCTACAGCCATGCACGGGTATAGCAAGTACTCACTAAATGTTTCCTGAATGGGTGAAGTAAATCTCCACCACACTCACTTGCTGAGTGATGCTGAGCAAGCCATTCAACACCGTTAGACTTATCCTGATAACAATAAAATACCATGGGACTGATGTGGAAAATGTCAGGCACCGGGACGTGGCCGCTTGCCGCCTCCCCGTCACTCCGCACGTCCGTGGGCCAGTGCTGTGAGTGGCCAGTTGGAGGGACGCTGCTGGGGCCGCCCCGTGGCAGAGAGCCAACCCCTGTCACGCCTGCCCGAATGCCCCCAGGCCCGAGTGCCGCAGCCTGTTTCCGGCCACGCTTTGAATCTCCACTGTTTTTGATTGGATGTTAAAGCTTGATGCTGATTGGATGTTAAAGCTTGTAGTTGATTGGACGCTTTTTAAGCCCTACCAAGAGTATAAAATCAGGAGGAGAACAAGGAGGGGGCAGAAGGGTCAGAAGATCAGAATACAGGAAGAGAGCTGTAACACTAGGTGTGCTGGGCCTGCCAGAGGAATAAAGGTTGTTCTCCGAGTTTTCGTGTGCCGCTCGGTTCTTTCCCCAGTCAAGAGCTGTAACACTAGCTGTACACACTGCCACAACAGGACCTGGGTCCCTAGAGAGGTGCAGTGTGGCGGCTCTGATTTACTCGCCTGTAAAATGCAGATGGTATGCCAAAGACTGTCCCTGATATGCCAAAGACTGTCCTGAGCTCTTGGTGTGTATTTTCATTCTTGGAGGGATCAGGGACAAATAAAGGACCTAAGCTGGCTCCTGACTTCAATGTGAGGGAGCTGAGGGCTCTTCCTGGGTGTCCCCAGTAGCTGGGGCCCAA